TCGAAATTTCAGTGCACGCATTCGCCTCTTTTCAGCGCAACCTCTCTATTAAGGTGAACGCCTTTGATGCCTCATCAAAGGGGACGAGGGGTTAAAAAAACAAAAAGAAAAAATCATTACGCGATGACATCACAACGAGTCGCCATGACGTCACGAATTTAGGCTTCACGTCGTGTGACGTAGCGCCACACGATGTTGTTGTGACACCCTTCTTTGGGCAGCGAAAGAAACCGCAGAGCACCTCGGCCTCAACGAAAGAGGCGGCGCTTGTCAGTGGCACGCGTGAAGCCACGACTCGTGTTCCCCAATCCATTTTATACATCGACGGAGATGGGAAAGAGGGACCTTCGAGTCATCTTAGGTGGACGCACTAGGAACTCTGCAGGGTGGTATTTTTATTCTTTTTATATGTGGTTCAGTCGTTCTATAATGTATGTGTTTAGGCAAACGACAAACGCGAATGATGAGCCGTCATTTGGGCGGAGGTAAAATTATGCGCTTAGACAGCGAGATGTGATAACGCGACGATAACGGGCATCACGGCGGCAAGAAACTTTTTTCGGTTGGCTTCTTGAAGGTCAAGCTTCCAGTGAAGACGCGCATCGGTGCACGTGTCAGGTTGACCGCGGTGGTACCAGATACCGCGGTGGCGCCAGATACTGGCGGGCGTGTGTACACTAACGTATATATCTGGCGGCTGACCTGTGCTCGTGCCCCGTTTTCTGGCCACTTCACCAGAACCCTTAAATAGCTGGGCGTTGTCCGGTGAGCTTATTTCGGCCGCTTGGACTCGTTCCAGCTATTCAAGCTGGCGATCGGGAACGGCCGATATTTCTTGCACGACATCGCTCGAGCGACGGCGGCACAGCACTGCTTCTGTGGCCTTCCGAGCTCAATCTAATAAACCCATTCTCATAATCATGGCTTTAATTTTGTTTCTAACGATAGTGTCCACCGTGGTAGCTGAAGCGCTGTACTGTCGAGCTCGTGGGTGCGGGTTCGATTCCTATAGCCACGGTGCCTGCATTTCGGGGCGAAATGCGAAAAAATTCGCGTACTTTGTTACGCACAGGTTCAAGAACGCCAGAAAGTCGAATTTAGTGCACGATCTACATTACCGCGAGCCTAACACAAACAACGTCTTGACTTTATTTTCAAGGATAAATGACCCTTGATACGACGTGCATGTTTGCGCAGTCCTCATGTCTCAGCAGTGTTTATACGCACACTGTGAAGTCTCAGTACCTTTTGATCATAAGTATAACTCATGAATGAAAGAGTGGCGTGGGAAAAACGCACTCAAAGGGTTTTCCGTCAGCGTATTTATTATTATTATTATTATTATTATTATTATTATTTTATTATTATTTGGACAAAGATGTCATCGCTTGAACATATTTTTATAATGACCTGTCGCCACTTTGCTTCTACGCAGGTTCGCCTTTTCAATTCTACGACTTCTGCACCAATTCGAGTTTCAATCAAATGCGTCACTTTGCAACAGCTCCACATCCCTCACAACACCATTTTTACTTTACGATACGTCTGTAAAAATGAGAAATAATCAGTGCGAAAGTACGTAAAAGAGTCCGCCGAAATTTATCGTTTGCTAAAGTATGCCTGGATCAAGCAATACTGCTTCTCTACGTTCAAAATGTAATGAGATACTTTACGGACGGCTCATAAGGCTTTCGTTCGGACTAAATATTTCAAGCTGCGTCTAACGATAAACAATTGCTTTAGCGTAGTTATGGGCTACACAAAAGGAACAAGCCTCAAAGCAGAGGAAAGCGCCAACAGCTCGTAAACCTTCAGCAGAACGTAGTAAAAGCTTTTGTTTTTCAAGAATTAACAAGAACAAAAACACTCGGCTAATAATACTAGAGTGTGATGACTGTACGCTTACACAATAAAATACACGCGCGGTAATCAGCTAGACCGTTGCTAAAACGATAAGCTCGCAGGCCTGTTCATCGTGTCTATCCCTGAAAAGGAGCGTCACACTGCCGTCACGTGATAAGAAAATGACCGGAAAAGGTAATGATTCGCAGGAGGGTGCTAAACACGGCTGACGCACTTCTGGGTATCTGAGCCTTAACAGCAGCTTCTAAAGAACCGGAATGCTGGTGCTTTATGGAGTAATGTGCCCACAAAATGTTACTGCACGCCCACTGAAAGAAACGTTTATGACGAAAGCAACAGAGTTGAGTTCAGGGAACATGTTTTACTGCCAACAAAAATGCGCGAACACGCATGCAGAAACTTCATGACTCGACCATGACTTACGTACTTGAAAATGACTCCTTTTTTTATGCAACTGCTCACCAAAGACACCAAATGTTCCGTTGATACGGAGACTACATCTTCTGTGCTAGCCAGTACTTTTGTTCTTAAGTTTTCAGCCTACTTTCTATGAAAAAAATCCGCAAACAGCGGTTGTGTCAAGCCGACGCTTCGACAAACAGACTTGTCTTCCTCAAGGCTCAAACGGAACTGTTCTGTTTGCCCGCTTTTCCAAGCCCGCTTTTCGAAATTTCGGCTGGACACAACACCTGTGTACGAATTTTTTCGCCGCAAGCTTCCATTTTCCCCTTCTTAGCTTTTTTTTTAGCATCAGCCTGCTTTCTGTGCTTTGAAGGCGGCAGCAGCAACTTCTCTAGATCGTAACTGTCATAGTTGGAAAAGTTGGTGTGGGTTCATTGTTCAGAACGGCGCAAGAGCCCTGTGTATTCTTCGTTTGCATTTCGTACTCGTGCACCGTTTTTAACCGTGTTCTCTAGATTGCTGTACGTTGCTTTACTCATACATCACGTGTGGATGAATTAATGAGTGAAAAACACTATTTTTTTCCTATTTAACAGGAAAAGGGCAGTAGGACAGAGCGCTGCGAGGTAGAGAAGGACTACTTGTAGGTCTTGACTACCCTCTCAGCTTACTGTGGAGATTTTCTCGTGTCTACCTGAAAAAACCGACGACACGGTGATCGCGACGTAACCTTTGCCGAGGTAATATGCGATCGTTGAATCTGGAAGGCCATGGCTTACGTTACCTACCAAGTGTCAGCAGGTGCAGTATAGTATTTGTATGGCGGGCCCAATAGCTGACATAACGCTGTCCTGTGCGTCTTTCTTCATCGCGATGTAGAGGCACAATAATTTGCATGTATGTGTGCACTAAGTTTGTACCATACTACCACAAAGATGAAATGAAAAAAAAAGGGAAAAAAATGTAAGAAAGCTCGAACATTGGGCAGGAACTGCAGGAAGACAATCCTGACGGAGTAACCGCTCGTATTGAACGTTATAAGTATTCCTAAATGAGCTAACACTAGCCAGTGTTAGCAGAAATTTAGCAAACACTAATTACTATTAATACATTACTGAGAACTGAACTTAGTAAAATTACTGATTATTGAACTGGACACGGAAAGCAGAAGGGTAGGTCTGAAAATTAATACGCATAAAGCTAAAGTAATGTGCAACAATCTCGGCAGAGAACAGCGTTTTGCGATAGGTGGCGAGACACTGTAAGTTGTAAAGGAATAGGTCTACTTTGAACAGACACTAACCGCAGAGCCTAACCGAGAGAGTTAAATAACAAGAATAAGAATGGGGTGGAGCACATTCGGCGAGCATTGCGAAATCATGAATGGTAGTCTACCACTGTGCCTGGAGGGTAAGGTATATAACAGCTGCGTCTTAACGATATTTACCTACAGAGCAGGAACGTGGAAGCTTACAAAGAGGGTTCAGTTTAAACTGAGGACGACTCACAGAGCGATAGAAAAAAAAAAGGATGGGTGTAGCCTCAAAAGACTAGAAGAAAGCAGAGCGGGTGAGGGAACAAACGGGGGTTAGGGGTATCTTAATCGAAATAAGAAAGAAGAAATGAACATGGGCCGGGCACTTAAAGCGCAGCAGAATAACCACTGGTTCAGTGACTGGATTCTCCGAGAAGGCAAATTCTCGAAGGCGAGACAGGAAGATAGGTGGAAGATTAGACTAAGAAGTTTGCAGATATGACGTGCCAGCAGAAAGCATAGAACCGGGTTTATTAGCGGGACATGGGAGATGCCTGTGACCTGCAGTGGGCGTAGTCAGGCTGATGATGATGGATAACGATGAATTACTGTTAGCCGGCACCGGAAATAGGCAAGTAAATATGGAAGCTGAATTCGTTCAAAAATTATCAATGCAGATATACGTTGTTAAAGAACATTGATGGCAGAAACCCACAAAGATGTTATCTTCAAGATCCGATTCAGCAATCTTGAAATATTAGTTAGCAATAAGATGGTAACGAAACAAGGCGAAAAGTTTGAGGAGTCGGTTTCTTTCTTTAATCACAACAAACGAATGCAACAGAAATGATGCAATCAAAGCACACAGGGGACATCAATTTTTGAAGTTTTGAACCATATAGTGCAATATGATCATCACCAACCGCTAAACGCGTCCTGCGCAGCAAGGGCACGTGCTTCTCACAGATCCCCTACAAAAGCAGCAGCCTAGAATGTGTGAGGCGCGTTTCCAACGGACAGGCGCGGAGTGTGTTCGCATGTGTTCGACGGCCGGCGTTGTGGTGGCTAGCTAATTCGTGAACGGTAGGACTATTTTAGATGCGAAGCAGCTTAAGGTTGAGCTCAGTCCAGTGTGCGGCGTGATCACGCTTACTGCGAATGCGCGTCCGCTCTCCCCCTCTCTCTCTTCTCCTGCCTCTCTCGCCTCGCGACGCTGATGCATGGAGCGTCACTTCCCCTTCTCCTCTAGGCATTTCTCACCCCCGCGGCGTTCTCACTATCATTGCGCATGCACATCTCTTCCTCCCTCTTTCTCTTTCCTCTGCTACGCTCCCCCTAACTCGCCTCGCAACACCGACGCAGGCAGCGCCTGCTAGCAAGTTTCTTGATTTAAAACAATAAAATTTCGCAGCGTGCCCGGCAATAAAAGTGGACTACGGGTCTCTGTGTCCAGTCGGAATCTTCTGTCTCTCAGTGCTCATTAGCAGCGATCGGCATGTTCCAGCAGAAAACACAGATTCATCACTGCGTGCGTTGCGCCACCCCAGACCCCAAGTTTCTTTCCGGCGTAACGCCGCTTCAGCGGCAGCGCCAACGTCGTCGCCAGCGAAAACGTTAGCGCCTGCTGCTTCGCACCTACACATGGTTCTTTTTAACGGGAGATAGTACAATTTTGACTCATGATCGCGAATAAAGACCACAACCGAATATTTATTTGTGTATTGTGTTATATGGTTTTGTACAATATATTGTGGAGCTCGTCATGCATTCCTTTAGAGGCAGTTGGCAACGGTCTTGGTGCTTTCTGCTTTACCTTTTCTTCTTCACTCTTTTCTTCTTCAAAATCACCATTTGACATTTGTTCTATTCTATTTTTTTTTAATTCGGTAGTATGAAATACTTCGTTGCAGCAGGCAGGGCATTGTTTGTTGTTTTGTTTTTATTATTTTAAGATTAAATTTCACCCACACAAACTTTCCTTTTTGTCTCATGAGCGCACAGTATAACGTTTCTTGTTACTAATAAATATATATTTTTCTAGTTTAAAGGCAGCGCTGCATTCCATCATTCAGTAAGGTGTCAAGAAACCCCAGACCTTAAATTGAAATAAATTAAGGTGGACGATGGAGCAACATTTCCGCCGATGGAATCCGCACAGTACGACGAGCAAAGTGGTTTCACTAGTTGCGTCTATAGCATTACAAAGGTACCGCATATGGAAGCGGCGGAAGGAAGCCGACTCACGGCTCATCCTAGGCGACACCCCACGTCCCGCGGCCGACGACCTCTGGCGCTCGTCGCACGCCCGTCCCGGACTGAGCGACCTCTGACCGTGAGCGGCTGAACCAGTCCGGGAGCCCGAGTCAGCGCAAGGAGTGGCGCCAGAGCTATGCGTCGCTCCGGGCCCGGTTCCGAACACAGCGGTGGTCAGGTTCGCCACACTAGTGATGGCCCCTGCGGAAAAGCAAGTCATGAGGCTTTTTACAGGCAGATGGCGTTGTGATGCAGACGAGTTCGTTCACGTTCGCGGTGTAATATTTGATGCGCGAAGCGTCGCGGTACGGAAAGAAAAAAAAACCGAAGGCGAAGGGCGAAGGAAAGCATTTTCATTGGTTTCGATCTCGTTCGTGTTTCATTTTTAGGGGCGAAGCTCCTTAGGGCGTGGGCTGTGCGTCCCCTGTAGCCTGTATGTAGCCACCTCTAGTTTAGTTCTTGCAGTGTTCACTAGATGGCGGTACCGTCCTCTGTATGTAACCACCTCTAGTTTAGTTCTTGCAGTGTTCACTAGATGGCGGTACCGTCTCCTGTATGTAGCCACCTCTCGTTTAGCTCTTGTAGTGTTTACTAGATGGTGGTACTTGTAGCTGATGATGAAAAGATGCAAGATGTTATAAACTAGAAAGCGGTACTTGTAGTTGATGAAAGACGCGATATCTTATAAAATAGGAATGATGTCACATATGGCGCGTGTCATTGGTTGAAGGCAATCGTTCGATTTAGTGCGGCGACGTACGCTAGGGGGAGCGATGTAATAAAATCGAGTGGGCAAAATGTACAGAGGATTCATGGTTTACCAGGTTTACCTCCGGAGCTTCGCCCACTCATCATCATTCACTTCGTGGATATGGCGGATTTTTTTTATTTGTTTCGCGCATCAGCGCTACGCTTTGCCGTTTACGAATGGTATATGTACAATAACCTGCATTCTCGGCTCACTTGCACCACATGTAACTACGTGTACAGCATATGGAGGATGCCCGCTAAGATAGCGCTATTGAGATTGGAGCTAGTGTGGACTCTGGACGATACTGGCGTACCTAAGTTATGTGTAAGTGAAGCGTATGACTCGGAAAATGTGATGGCTATGATTGCACGCTATATATACTTAAACAAGAAGTCGGTTTTTTTTTTCAAGAGACCTGGCAGGTGTATAGGCATTAACTCGTTGTACCTTTTGCAGCTACAGGCTTTTCTATGATAAAGTTTTGCGCACCACCACATTGCCCTCTATAAGGTTGTAAATATCGGTGGACTTGCTCAAGAAGCACTGTAGAGGCAGCCACTCCAGCCTTTTTATTGTCGTGCAAGAGTTAATAATGTAGTGAATAAAAAAGACGTTGATACCATCAGGTCAGCTATCATCAGCACAAGAAGAAGGCACGAGATCGGCGATCAAGCACCGTCATCTGGGTTCGCCTGCGTTCCTTTAGAGCTACCACCCGCTTGCTCAGTCCTTCAATAAACCCCCTTTACATTTGGTGGAGGTGCTGGGTAACTGCATCACCTACACCCTGGAACTCCGATCCCGCACGCTGCCGTCGACCATGCAAGTTGACGCTGCCCAACAGACAGCACCTCTCGCGGCTCCTACTTGCCCCGGCCCGGTTCACCAGCGAGACCCCCCGATCTTTTCAAGCGCCGAAGACCAGGACGTCGAGGACTGGCTGTCGTCCTACGAAAAAGTCAGCGGACTAAACAGGTGGGATGACGCTGCTAAGTTGAGCACCGTCAACTTTTACTTGGCTAATGTGGCGAAACTGTGGTATACAAACCACGAATCCGAGTTCGAGAACTGGGCCACTTTCAAGCAGGCAATATCCTCGGTTTTCGGTCGCCCTGCCGTGCGGAAGTTGCGCGCCGAACAACGCCTGCGCTCGCGGGCACAAGATCCTGGCGAAACGTTTACCGCCTATATCGAAGATATACTCGATCTCTGCAAGCGTGTCGATGCCGCAATGAGCGAAAGTGCCAAGATCCAGCACATTATGAAAGGTGTTGATGACGACGTCTTTCAAATGCTCCTGGCGAAGTCTCCTGGCACGGTGTCTGAAGTGGTAACTCTGTGCCAGAACTACGACGAATTGCGACGGCAACGAGCTCTCACCCGTCGTTCATTTCAGCCTAACCAACCACTCGCTGCCCTGGACGTCGTACCTGACCACTCCCGCCTTCTAGCACAAATGAAAGACTTTGTGCGTGAGGAGGTCGCACGTCAGCTTTCCCTCCTGCCGTTTTGTCAGCGCCAAGAGCTCCCGCAGCAGCAGCAAGAGCAACCACCGACACCGCTAGCTCCCATGCTCCGACATGCACTTCAGGACCAGATTGCCGAGGCTATGCCAGTGCCCTTTCAGCAGCAAGTTGTCGCCGCGCCTCTTACTTATGCTGACGCAGTAAAGAGGCAGCAGCCACACCAGCCCTCGCCGTTCAATGGACTGCCGCATGTCACCGCTCCTACTCAGTCTTCCGTCGCATGGGCTCCTCCCCTCGCTACCACAGCCTCGACTCAGCCGTATGCTGCGTGGGCGGCGCCCCTTGCTGCAAATGCCTGGCGAACGCGCGATAACCGGCCGATCTGTTTTGCGTGCGGCGGACCTGGCCATATCTCCCGATACTGCCGTCGTCGCGTGCCCGCCTACACAGACGTCCGACCACGAAGCAATTACATGGACCGACCACCTTTTGGTTATGAAAGTTTGGATCGTCAGTCAAACACGTCTTCCCGTGACTATCCGGCAACTTCGTCTCGTCGCTCACCTTCACCCAATCGACGCTCCTTGTCACCCATGCGTCCACGACCAGCCCCTCAAAATGAGGGAAACTAGCCGTCGCAGTTCAAGGGGCAAGAACTGCGCTTTCGAAATGTTCAAGTCCTCGCACCTTGCCGTCAAATATCGTCGAAGTTTTTGTAGACGGCGCCCATGCATACGCTCTTGTGGATACCGGTGCAGCTGTGTCTGTTATAGACGCCAAACTTTGCCGCAAGCTCCGAAAGGTGACCACGCCGCTTGATATGTTCTTACGTGCAGCAAATGGAGAACCTGTTCGACCTATAGCCGCCTGCACTGCCCGACTCAAAATTGCGGAGGACCACTACATTGTTGAGTTTATCGTCCTTTCCTCGTGCTCTCATGACATCATACTTGGCTGGGATTTCCTATCCCGTAATCGTGCCGTTATAGATTGTGCCCGTTCCGAACTTGAACTGCTTCCGTTCTTCGAGCAGCCCTACGACCACACTAATCAAGCCGCGCACAAGCTAGTTGTCAAAGAAGACACTGACATTCCACCGACAACATCTGTTTTGCTCCCTGTGGTCTCCGACGGCATGCGTGATGATGTAGCATTTTTCGAGCCATCACGCCTCTTCTAAGTCGGAAACCACTTCTGCTCCCTTATTCAGCCCTCTCAATTTCTAATGGAGCCAGTGTTCTCTACCTTACCAATCCCTTTCCGCATACCATCAAACTGTTTAAAGGCGAGTCTCTTGGATGCGTACAGCCCATTGATAACGGACAAATTTTTACCGTGCCGCAAGAATCATCCCAAAGTGACCTTGCCGCCGTCAGTGCTCTTAACCACTCTCATCTACAGGCTTCAAAAAGTGTTCGATTCGGCGATCGCAGACGGACTGTCACCATCTGAACGATCTGAACTCCTCCAACTGCTGTACCAGTACCGCGAATCTTTCGATGTTGTTCAACCTTCACTTGGCCGCACTTCTACCACTCTACATTACATCGATACCGGCTCCCATGCGCCACTACGACAGCGACCATATCGTGTTTCTGTGGCGGAACGCCAAGTTATTACCGAACAAGTGAACGATAGGCTGCAACGTGGCGTCATTCAACCTTCACAAAGTCCATGGGCCTCACCTGTAGTGCTCGTTAAAAAAAAAGATGGTTCCGTTCGCTTCTGCGTGGATTACCGGCGCCTAAATAAGATCACTCGAAGAGACGTGTATCCTTTACCCAGGATTGACGATGCCCTTGATACTTTACAAGGTGCCGAGTTTTTTTCATCATTAGATTTGCGCTCAGGGTACTGGCAGGTCCCCCTTGCCGATGCCGATCGACCAAAAACAGCCTTCGTGACACCGGACGGTCTGTATGAGTTTAATGTCATGCCCTTCGGCCTCTGCAATGCGCCTGCCACCTTCGAGCGCATGATGGACTCGGTTCTTCGGGGTTTGAAATGGCAAATCTGTCTCTGCTATCTCGACGATATAGTCGTCTTTGCGCCAGACTTTGGAACACATCTCGAGCGCCTCAAACACGTCTTTACGTGCCTGAAGAATGCTCAGCTTTAACTCAACCTCAAGAAGTGTCACTTCGCTGCTCGGCAACTTACGATTCTCGGGCACGTCGTATCAAAGGACGGTATACTTCCAGACCCGGCTAAGTTACGTGCTGTCGCCGACTTCCCCAAACCAACGACTATGAAGCAGTTACGGAGCTTCGTGGGGTTATGCTCCTACTTTCGCAGGTTCGTGCGCAACTTCGCCTCTATCATTGCGCCTTTGACCGAACTTATAGGCAGCACCACTGATATTTCGTCATGGTCTTCTGAGTGTGACCAAGCCTTCTGTACCCTTCGTCGTCTCCGCACTTCGCCACCAATACTGCGTCACTACGATCCTACGGCAGCAACTGAGGTCCACACCGACGCCAGTGGTGTCGGCCTCGGTGCGGTCTCTCGCGCAACGCAAGCCTGGATTCGCCGAGTATGTCGCCGCCTACGCCAGCAGAACTCTTACCAAGGCTGAATCAAACTACAGCGTCACCAAGAAGGAATGCTTGGCGATCGTTTGGGCGCTTGTAAAGTTCCGCCCATACCTTTATGGCCGTGCTTTTGATGTAGTAACGGACCACCTCGCATTATGCTGGTTATCGTCGCTTAAGGACCCATCAGGTCGTCTTGCCCGTTGGGCTCTTCGGCTTCAAGAATATGACATTCGCGTAGTATATCGTTCCGGCCACAAGTATGCCGATGCTGATGCACTGTCACGATCTCCCCTATCCCCGGACAACGCATCTGTTTCCTCGGACAACACGTTGTCAGCGCTTGACGAGGACACCATCTCTTCTGCACAACGCAATGACCCATGGATCGCTTCGCTTCTTGACGCGTTATCCGAGGCACCAACACTTCCAACCACTCGAACCCTGCGCCGCCAGGCTCCGCACTTCAGTATTCGGGATGGCCTTTTGTACCGGCGCAACTATTCAGCAGATGATAGGAAATGGCTACTAGTCATTCCCCGAACGCTGCGCTCTACCATCTGCGCGTCGTTTCATTCCGACCCGCAGTGTGCTCACGCCGGGGTTTTCAAGACCTACGAGCGCCTACGAAAAAGGTATTACTGGCGCGGAATGTTTACCTTCGTCCGCCAGTTCATTCGCGGCTGCCACGAATGTCAGCGGCGGAAAAGCCCGCCACATCCGGCAACAGGTTAATTGCAGCCACTTCCATGCCCAGACCGCCCATTCGACCGTGTAGGAATTGACCTCTACGGACCACTACCATTAACAACGGCAGGCAACCGATGGGCTATCGTGGCAGTGGATCATCTAACACGGTACGCTGAAACTGCTGCTCTCCCCACAGCTGCAGCACAAGACGTCGCAACTTTCATATTCAATCGTTTTGTGCTTCGTCATGGTCCTCCTCGAGAACTCCTCAGTGACCGAGGGCGTGTTTTCATCTCCGATGTAATACAAGCACTTCTTCAACAGTGCCATATGGTTCACCGGAAGAGTACAGCCTACCACCCACAGACGAACGGCTTGACTGAGCGGTTTAATCTTACTCAGGGGGACATGCTCGCTACGCATGTCGCTTCTGATCAAACAAACTGGGACCTCGTTCTCCCATTTGTGACATACGCGTATAACACCGCTACGCAAGTCACTACCGGGTTTTCCCCATTTTTTCTCCTGTACGGTCGCGAACCATCACACACCATCGACACTTTACTCCCATACTCGCCAGATCCCTTCGAATACAAGCCTGTCTCGGAAGCCGCTCGTTACGCAGAAGAGTGCCGCAAGCTAGCCAAGCGGCTTACTACATCCGACCAACAGCGCCAGAAGGAGATCCGTGACGACGACCATCGTTCTGCACCAACGTTCGTTCCTGGAGCACTTGTATGGCTTCATGTACCGCCCTGCGCCCCTGGTGTATCACCCAAGCTACTCTCCAATTATCATGGTCCCTACCGCGTGGTCGAGCGTACTTCACCCGTGAACTACGCCATTGAACCCCTCACGCCACCGAGCGACCGTCGTCGGCGTGGACGTGATATCGTTCACGTAAACCGTCTGAAGCCGTACTTTGACCCGCTTGTCCCCACGTGTTAGATCGCCAGGATGGCTTCAACTTTTTCACCGGGGGTAATTGTAGTGAATAAGAAAGACGTTGATACCATCAGGTCAGCTATCATCAGCACAAGAAGAAGGCACGAGATCGGCGATCAAGCACCATCATCTGGGTTCGCCTGCGTTCCTTTAGAGCTACCACCCGCTTGCTCAGTCCTTCAATAAACCCCCTTTACAATAAGGAGAGTAATCCCTCTCTACGATGAACGCTTCTACAAAATAAGTTCATTTGAAAATCTCCACATGACTTCTTACTTCTGATAAACTAAATCTAACTGCTTCAGTGCTTAAAGGCTTTCCCGCTTGCGGATACAAGCCATGGCGACGGGTGTCCTTGCTAAACGTTTTCTTCAGAACAGATACTTAGAAAGGTGTCCTCTTGTTGGTGTAGAATTATTGGTATGTCCAAGCAACACAAAAAAAGTACAAGATAGCACAAAGGGGTAATTGGTATTTCCCCCTATTTCCAGTACTTATTCAGGCCTTAAACATCGTGAGAGATACTCTCACTTCATGTGTCATGTTTCCCTGTTGTAAAAAAACGACAGCGAATTGTTCCATGCTTTGGGTGGTCATTACTCTCGCGTTTTTTTATTTAGTTCCTGTCTTTGCCACTCTTTCAAATTACTTCATCGTCAACTGCCTCGCGCACGATCTTTACGCAATCTTTCGAATTGCTCCATACTGCACCAGCGCCACATTCAAACAGTGACGCAAGAAAGACCAAGCTTTTGTGCACCTACAACGCTGCACGCATGGGTAGCACAGCGCGCACAAACAAATATTGTGAGCGCGACAAGCGAATGACTCTTTATTCTCTTTGATATCATCATCACCTATACATCTTCTTCATCTGAAAATATCATCACCAGCGTGATTTAGCTCGAGCCTGGCTGAATAAACCAGTTCCTCACAATATCCATCTTGCCGCTCTGGGTCGCCGTTCTCTCTAACCGCATGGGGGCATGACCAGGCATCCGATAGATACCATTGACGAAATAATCGACGCCCACTTTCCTTCGCTAAACAACGTCGTGCATCCAATAATAAAGTGAAAGCTTTAGCGGCCTACAGTCGAGTCAGTTTCAGGGTGTATCTCACTTGACTTTGAAGCAAATAACGAGTGACTAGACTCCTCCATCAGTGCTAAGAAGGCTAAACAAGCAGTGTAACAAACTTTCGCTTGCATAACGGAAGCTATAGGCGAGCTAAGCCACAGCCGATGTTTTGTGCTGTTCATTGGCAGCGTAACTATAGGTGATCAGACACGCGCAACAAAGGTCAGAGTCCTTACCGGCGATGGAGTTGAGCGTGCCGTTGCGGCGTCGGGGCTCGACGCTGGGGCTGCGGCTTCCGGCGGCCACGTGCGCCTCCTGGAAGTCGTAGTTCGCGGGCGTCACGTCGAGTCCGGCCTTCTCGGGCGAGAACTCGAGGATTCCCCGGCCGGACTCGGTGCGGCGCCCGCTGCCCGTCGGTCCGATGCCGCCGTCGTCGTCGCCGTCGTCGTCGTCGTCGGAGAAGCCCCCGCCGCCGCCGCCGCCGAATCCGTCGTCGCAGCTCGACGAACCGCGACGTCCCCGCCGCCGCCGTCTCCGCCGAGCCCGCGGGTACTGGTACGCTTGGCTCCGGGTCTCGCCTGCGACATCGCGCCCTTCTGTGCATACGGAGGTGCGTCCTTGCACTGTAGTCGAGGTTCTGTTCGTATATCGCCTCGTCGGAATGAAACACTGGTGATAACATTGATGGACACCGACTGTAAGATGACGAATGTTTACTGGCGTTCTGGCTACCACACGGAAGCATATAGCCTCATCGCCTTCGTGCAATATATTCGACCGGATACGACCTCATTGCTTGTGTGCTCAACCCTTTATTTCAACAATAAGGCTTCGGCGTGGAAACTGAAAAGTGAGTTTTTTGATGCCGTAGGGCAAACTCGCGCAATAAAAAAAAAGGTAATGTTTAACATTTGCCGGTGTCCATCAGTGTTTTCACAATTATTCTTACATTATTTGATGTTAAATGCTAACTAGCTCATCGCATTGGGTTACTTGTTTGTCTAGCGTATCTACACATAGACCATTGAAAGCAGACCATACTCTAGAAAGACACCTGTGGCAAATGTTCTTGCGCCTTGACTGTCCTCATCATTCGCAGGAAAAGCTGTTCCTGGCCCGCTACATACTTTTACAAATACCGCCCTTGGCCATCGTTTATAGTAACATCGTTGTAGGTCCTGCTTATCGCACCCACTCTCACTCTCTCCCTATACGTACCTTTCTAATCCGTATTTCCTTGAACTCAATCCAAAATAGGAAACAGAACGCTCATATGATCGACCACCCTCCTTGCCACCCCCCCCCCCCCCACTCGCCACTACAATGCAGGCAAAGAGTTCCATCTTCGACGCAAGGAGTGCGTCCATCGCTCACCTTCCTCCGGCGAACTGGCCGGCCTGTTGTGTAGCGACTTGCCCCGAAAGAGGTCGGGGTCGACTCCCTCCTGGTCATCGTCGCGAAGGTTGAAGGTGATCTCGAGGTTGGTGGAGAACTGGTCGAAGAACTCTGGGTACATGTCCAGCACGTCCAGGAGGTCCTCGCGCAGGATCTTGTGCAGGTCGCAGTAGGTGAGCGCGCGCACGTTGCACGATGACTTGCCCACCGTGCCGTACAGGCAGCCGTTCTCACCGAAGATGTCGTCCTTGCCTGCCGGAACAAAACAAAACAAGTCGACGCGTCGGTTGCAAGGCAGTGCAGGACACGAGACAACAGAGAGAGACAAACATCTTTATTATGTAGGTAGAACAAAAAGCATGGGAGGGACCCCTAGTTCGGGGTCCCTAGGACGACTCCGGCGACGTGTCGAGCCCGTTGTATGATGGCTCGCAGAACCTCGGGAGGTTTGTCGCGGAGGGCATCGTTCCACAGCCCTTTTTTGCGCAGCGGGCGGAGGAGGGGTGGTAATGGAGAGAAAAGGTTTGCCGTGCACTCGATAGTGACGTGGAAGATGGAGGGTGACCCGCCGCAGCCCGGACAATTGTCAGCATAACAGTGTGGCCAGAATTTGTTCAGGGAGACAATATTAGGAAAAGTGTCGGTTTGCAACTGGCGTAGTGCCACTGCTTCCTCTCTCGAGAAGGATGGTGGTGGCGCACGGTGAGTGCAGCGAACGCTTCTATAATGACGGAGAATCTCTCCGTAACGCAGCAAGGGATCCCCCCACCCTGAACTGGTCATTTCACCACGTCGGGCCGCCCGGAGGGAAATATCGCGGGCTACTGCATGTGCGCGTTCATTGCCCGGCAGCGAGGCATGACCAGGGGTCCAATTAAGTGGATGCGGGAAGGTGTGACTGAATCATTTTTCGGGATCTGTTTGAGAATTTGTTGTGCCGCTCTCGGAATGCCATGTCCTGATAGGAACGCCCGGCATGCCTGTTTCGAGTCCGTCAGTATATACACTTCCCATGGGACACGAACGGCGCGTCGAACAGAAACGCTCACTTGTAAAGACGACTTCATTTCAGCAAGGTGTGTGCTGAATTGCCGTGCATACGTTCAGCTCTTCTCGTGAGAAGATGATGAAGCAGAAAAGAACATTTTCTAGTTAAATTTGATAATGTATTTATCTTTCTTTGAATATTGTAAGGCGCCCTCAAGAATGTCTACTACAGGGAGTAGTTTGACTAGGTGACTGCCCTTACAACAGAAAGTGCTTGAAAACGTATCACTTATGAAAAAAACACAAATGACATTTTAACTTACCTAAGCTATAACTTATATGGAAAATGCTTATTGGAATTTCATGGGACTAAAATTTGGAACCGACTACCTTTAGAAGTTAAAGTGGCAAGAAATTTTAAGCACAGTGTGAAATTATTTTGCTTGCAGCATCAAGACATATAAATAGAATATAAATATTTGGGTATGTTGTGAAAATGCATATATGTATACGCGCTTATGTGTGTAGTATGTATGTGCATATGTGAATAGTTATATGTATAAATAATTGTGTATATATGTGTTTATTGTTAAATATGCTCTGCTAAGCTGCTTTTACGTACTCCGATATGGACCGATCATTAGCCAATGTAGGCTAACGGTCCAATATCTTGTAATCTTTTATTTGGTTTGTCAATAAAATCAGATTGATTAAAAATGAACTAATAATTTGCAAAACTTAAAGGAGCCCTGACATCAAATTTACTCATGTCAAGATTTTCGCGTCAACGAGCAGCTATCGACCCCTTAGTTGCGATTCGCGACCCAAAACACATCTGAGGGACAATTGAATATCTGTAATATTGATTAATATATCCGTTATCGAACGTAGTTCAAAATGAGTCAAAAGCCCGCCCGATTGTAGTGCTCTGAGCGTTACGTCGCGGCTGCACAGCCGATGCTGCTTTCACAAAAAAATGGTGACGTCACAAGAAAGTGACAGCCGCCACGAACGTGATACGAAGAATCACGAACAAGAGGGAAAGAATGAAAGAGCACAATGTCGTGAGACTAATACAGGCGTATGCTTCAAGCCACGTCACGTACGTTGCTGCTTACGTCAATTGGAGTACAAGCAAAAGCAACAAGCTGGACACGATCATCTGCAGGGCTTACAAAACCGCATGAGCCTCTATATTTGTTACCACGGGATGCGGGGACTGAAGGACGCGCATCCAGTGGTCAAGAATGCTATACTCACAGAGCATATGGGCAGAAACATGCACCCAGTGCACGATGTCGAAAGGCGCAGATGCCGAGCGGAGGGGATCCTCAAAGAGTACGGCAGCCGAGAGGGTGTACTTTTTGTCGACGCTGCTGGGTACCCCCGGCCCGACCGAGGACAACAGCAGAACGAACGAGAGCAACAACAATGCCAATCGACACCTGCCTTCTCCATGGCGGTGGTCGACACGAGGGAACCAACTCTGGTGACAGGACCTGCGAGGCTCCCGTCGTCTGAGGCGGCAGAAGAAATGACCACATCCCTTGCAATAATTCATAGTGGAAACGAGGACACTCTTATCGTGAGTGACGCCAAGATGGCGGTCCGAAACTGTACGAAGGGATGGTTCTCTGTCGAGGCGGCGCACATGCTAAACGCCAGAGCCGAAGATTTCAAGTCTGGTTCAATTGCTGCCAAGTCTCTGAAGTGGTTCCCCGCGCACGCGGGAGAGCTTGGCAGCGACCAAAGATCTGACTTCCCGTCGAACCACAACGAGCGCGCCCACTTGGTCGCGAGACTGCTAACCTGCCGCGACGCAGACGAAAAGGACCGCCGACGTGCGACACATCGACGGTGGCGAGGCACCCGAGGTCGGAGGACATAGTACCTCTACGACGACGATAACATACCACGAGGCCTTACAGGACTGCAAGGACATCAGTGGTTACTTTCCACGATATCCTAAACCAATATAGAAAAACGCGACGACGTTACCCACCACCCCCATGCAGCTAGAAAGGTCTCAGGCGTCTGCACACCGAAACATTTGAAAATCCCCGACACCTGCATAGACTGTGTCCCTCGCTCCACCCGTCACTCGGCTGTCCGTGGTGCGGGCACGAGACAGCTGACATGGCGCATATACTTTGGGAGTGTGAGTGCAGTGTTCGCCGCGACTACTCGTACGAGCGTGAGTGTACCTCAGGACGACTGGCTGAGCAGTGGCGAGCCGCCATTTTCAGTCCACGTGCAGTGGACCGAATCTGGGCTGTCCAGCGAGCCAGGGCTATCGCCGAAAACATCGCACGATGCTCCGCGGACGACAGCTGCTGGAGACCAATCCCGGGCCAGTAATTCCCTGTTGGATCCTTAATAAAGTTTACTACCTACCTACCTACCTACGCACACTGGCATTTCGTCTGCTAGGAGCGCACTTGCACTCAGTCCAGCTGTGTCCCTGGTGATGTAGACTAAAGCCCCTCCACGCGTTTTCAGCCGACTAGGTTAAGTAGTTCCAACTCGTTCTTACCCTCTCCATTTAGCCCTGGTCTCGAGAAGGGGCCTCGTACTGCCAGTGAAACCAGACTCGTTCGACAACACAAGATTTACCCTGTAGCAGCTCGGCGCAAAGTGAAGCGAGCAAATGCGGCTGCTCATCTTAGGCGTCCAGTCCCTCTGTCCGTCGGCGCGTACGAAGTCAACCCACTGGCAGCGTTGAGGTTCGTGGCTTGGAAAGGCATGAAACGCGACGCAACTTTCGCTTTTTCCACGCCTCGACGTGCAGGTTCTGACTGCGCAGCGGTTCTCCTGACATGCTGGCACGTATTGTCAATCTGAATGATGGTACTCGCGCTGTGGAGCACATGTCAAATTAGTCGATGCGACACGATGAATCGAACGCACGCTTCAACACAGCAAGGAGAGCCACTAGTGAGAGTATGGCCGGGAGTCGGCTCCAAACACACTCAGATCGTCAACGTCATTGTTATTAGCGTATCGTCACTCAGGATGGTATTTGTCGAACGTATCACACCGAACACGTAGCACTAGTGTCGATGTCGCACAGGGGTTTATTTTCCATTTTTTCTCCTTAGCTTTCCTGCGCTGTTTGACATTGAATTAAAATAACTTCCACGCGACGGATGCCATTCAAATTTGGCCAATAAGACCTGTGCGTACCAAGCAATCGAATGATGGGAACATCTCGATCTAGAAATTTGATGTCATTGCTCCTTTAAGAAGTTGGAGCGGACTTAGTCTCTTATGTTTCCCCATTTTCGCGACGTAGAGGTGGTGGCGAACAATTGAAAAAAACTGTCCTCGCTCTGCAACTGTGCTTCGAAACACGAAGGCAAACACAGAAGGCGACAGTACAGCTTTGTACTGATTTCTTAAAGACTCGTGGAATTGCCTCGGTAACGGCCAACATAAGACACGAAGACGTTTCGAAGTCTCCCCGTGCAGTTGACCATGAAACGCCACGATAGTGCAGCAACTTCGTTCACATTCTTCTGACATCTTCCAATAAACCGTATCCGTGCGACGGATACCAGCCTAACGAATATTTTATAACAGTAGTTGCACTTTTGCATTTTGTCTGCAGATTTTTCGCTACTTTCGAGCGAAAAATCAGTCGTAGTTATCTGCACCGATGTCTATGTATGCATAATATAACAGTATGTACGAAAAATGCTGATGAACGAAGTGAAAGCGTTCTTATGTAGCGAACATTCACTTCAATATGCATTTGTACATAGTCTCACACTGCAAATAAAGAAATATTCATAACGATGATGATGATGACGAGTATGCACACTAATAACATGCTATAGAAAGTATGTCAATTTGTACGCGAACTGTGGCACAATATAAACTATGCCAAAGCTCGCGATCAATCAAAGCAAACCAACGTGCGCAAGTAACTTTGTTCTGAACAAACTTCTATCACTAATATCCGCAATTCTAGATCGAACAAGTATTAACAGCACGACCAAAAAATGAGAGTGACAGATTTTAGAGCCTGATTTACAAGCACACTTAAAACAAAGGCCAGAAAAAAAACGAACACAACTCCAAAGCTAAAGCTAGGCGGATGCATTTTACACAGTGGCACCACGTCCTTGCATGCGCGTGCACACATTCACCCTACCGGCCACTCGCACACCGACGTTTCACCGCCGAGGTGTACATTACATTCCTAGCCCGCATCTGAATTCAAGGTAATGGAGGCGTAGCCGCAGGCCCCGCTGTAGTAACGAAATAAAAAAATAAAAAGAAAGGTCAGCGCACAGCACATCTATCCTGCGAGAAACCTCGGCAGGCCGCGTATTGATTACGAGTTTAGTGGCGCCTGTCGGGCTTCGTCATCGATCCCGAAGCTTGTTTCCCAGTCGCGTCCTCCAAAACACCGCGCTGCTGCTGCGCGACTGCTGCTACTGGGAAGCGAAGCCTGTCCATACATAATGTGCGCGTCGAGTCCTTTACTGTAGTGTAGCGTATGCTCGGAGGAAAAAAAAATGTATCGCAGCTGCCAAGCGAAACCTAAGCGAATAGAAAAATAATCAGGAAAGGCAAGTCGGGAAAAGTCGCCGAACGCTGCGTTTATAGTGCACGGGCTAGAGTTGGATTAGCAGCGGGGGAAAAGTGCCGGAAGTTGTGTGGCGTGAGCCACGATCACGTGACTCGCTCGCCTCCGTGTTTCAGGTCGAGGCGAGCCAATAGTTCCGCCGAACAGTTTGAAGTACGTGAACTGCCGATAACGCGACTTAAACATTATTGATTAGGCTGTTTCTTTCTCCTAAAATTGGGTTCTGTGTACGTCCAGGTGTGCGCTAGCGCTCCTATTACTGAACGAGGAAGGCGTCGTGTCACGGCAGCTTTTTAGGTGTCTACACAACCGGAAATGGCACTTGTACTCGAGTACATCATTCAATCCCCACTTCCTCGACTGTTTCCATTGGATCTGCAAATGCTGTAGACAAACTACGACCAGCATTAACGAGAAGCGTTTGTGCTTTTTTGATAACGAGCCAACTGACAGCAATCAATGCGTACTACTTGTTGGTTCAATGAAAGTGTAATCGTGTCTGACGTAGTAATGCTCCTCAGTAACTTCAACCATCTTATTAACCTTACTCATAATTTCTTTAACTATACCTACCATTTAGGTTTTGTCTTTTAGCGCACGTTAGTGCGTGCGTGAATTGTTTCCCAGAATATGGTGGCTGGTGGGAGCGTTCCCACAACACAAGCGTGCCACCCTTCTAAGTCTCTGGGTCTATTGTTTTTCTATGGCGAGTAATGTTCTTATTTCTTTAACCAGGGCTATGTCGCTGGAACTGTGGTTAAACTTATGAACAAAGTCAATCCTGTCGATACTGAAGTTCCATGGTTTCCTCCTCATATGGGACAAGTGGACGAAACTCGGGTCAACCTCAATGAGGCGACGAATGATCTGGCACGAGGACTCCCTTGCCGTGCCAGTCATACCCAATCCGACGCCCACTACCATTCCGGGGTCTATAAAGATAATTTAATAACTTACAACGACGTCACAAAATATTGTTACTTGGGGCGTAGGCAATTCCCACTGCCACACGCAAAATTAAACAGGGCTCAGGCAGTCACGCTAAGTTTACTGCAAACCGGAACTTACCCAACTCCGTACTTTCTACATAAAATTTTCCCTGACAGTGAAATTCAAGACAAGTGTGACGCGTGCGATGGCATCATTGGGATCAGACACATGCGGGCGGGCTGTCCCGCGACTCTCACCGACCCCGAAGAACAATGGCTTCACTGGCAGACGATGGTGCGAAGCGTGTCTTATCAAGACTAACTACGGGCAGTCCAGAAGGTCCACGATGACGCCACAAGGCTCGGCCTGACGGTACCAACGTGAACGCGGCCAGCCTCGGTCTGAAAAGACCGGGCTTCAGGACACAAATAAAGTTTTGTGAATGAATGAATGAATCTACGTAGTCAGGTATGGGACACAACCAGGGCAACAAGGAAGTCCGATGCTATTCGTATTTCTTTCACTCTATAGTCCTTACACTCACTGCATAGCGACACACACTATACAGCCGGGAGGCCAACAGAACGAGCTGTAAAACGAGCACTGTGACTAAGCCTCACCGAGGATGGCCATGACGATGTCGTCCTTGAGTATCTCGATGGTTCCGCGCGAGATGAAGTAGAGGCCCGTGATGACGTCACCTCGGTGAACTAGCGTGTCCCCCGGCGGCGCATGCGTCGTCTTGAAGCGCATGGAGAGTGCGCGCAGGCAGCCGGGACTCGCGCCGCGGAACGCCGGGCAGTTGTTGAGCAGGTTCCGGTTCAGGTGCAGGCAGATGTCCGCCTGAAGGCATTCCGGAAACCCCTGCGAAGAACAGGCGCTGGTGTCGGCCGGCGATCGCGCCGTTATTCATAGAGTGCGTACGTGTCTGGGCGCAGCGATTTCGGTTTACATGGCTTCAGTTCAACAGGGTTGAATCTGACACAGAATGCACAAACGCTTTTTTTCTGGTACAAAGACAGATTGATGATTGATTGGTGGGGTTTAACGTCCCAAAACCACTATTTGATTATGAGAGACGCCGTAGTGGAGGGCTCCGGAAATGTTTACCACCTGGGGTTCTTTAACGTGCACCTAAATCTGAGTGGTACAAAGACAGAAAATGAGCCTTGGACATTCTGTATTTGTGTATCTACTCGGATGCTTTTGCCTCTCCTTTCTTTGACATCTTTCACATTACGATGCTGGTGCTGTGTTTTTCCCACGAATTTGTCCCTATCAGCCAGAATATGCAAGATTGCTGAACGATGTCAGAACAGGCCAACGTAGATTGTAAAACGAGGGCAGCAGTTTATCGTGGACGGTGTCGTAGGAGACGAGAAATATTATGACGAACGCCTGTCAGGATATTGAGATATATGTAAAGGCTACACCTATAGAGGAAAGGCAATATATTGCGAAATCGCTCACGGAACTGCGTTTCTCTACGAGGTTCGGAAATTGAAAGTGGTGGGCCGTTATACAGTCGTAATATCGAAATAAATCCAGCGTTTTGTGAATCACTTACCATATACCACTTACTTGGCTATGGTATCCATATGAAATGTGTCATGTATAATCTGCGTGTTGCGAAATGTATAAATTAAGATGGAAACGTGGCTGACCATACGAACACCTTCTATTAACCCGTCACATTTTTTTCTTCATTTCATTCTTTGCACTGACCCGGGTCTTTTCGATCTTTAGTGCATGTGATTTTAGGCTAATGTACTCACAACCGCACATGTCTGCTCTTACATCCACCACACGAAAGAGTCAATGTGTGTTCCATAGTAGGTACTCGCCTTGAGCACCATGTTCATGTCGATGCCGTTCGTGTACGTCCAGGCGTGCTGGAAGTACTCCTCGAGGCGCTGCCTCAGTGGGTTCGGGATCTGGTGGAAGCGAATGAACTCCTTGACTCTGAGCAGCTGCGTGTGGTAGCGGGCCGTGCCCGAGTACAGCCGCTGAATGATGGCCGATACGTTACCGAAGATGCTGGCGTACATGAGTGCTGCAAGACGGCATCGCCGGTCACCCGGGTGAGATCAGGCTTGGGAAAATAGCAGTCCACTGCGTGTGCACAAGAATCTTTGAACTGTATCGATTATACAGATGTATTGATAGCAAACCCGTGTTGTTTTGACCACACTCGACTTCGTATTCTTTTGTGTTACTAACTAAAATAAGTTTCGCAATGAGCAAGACAGTTTTCCATCGTTAGTGCTGCCACATACAAACGCTGAGTGCAGGTGGAGCATCGCACGAAGTGCCATTATGCAGGTAAACTAAGGTATCGTTCTCTCAGCAAAAAGAAAAAAAATGTCACGCAAATAGTTGGGGTAAGCTTTTCTTTGCTTTGCTTTTTGAAGCACAGTTTCAGTAGGGCTCCTTGCAAAAAAACATTGGTTCAAATACATTTTGGACGAAGAAAAAAAAATGACACAATCTTTCTGTTCGCATATAATGAGCATCATCGGTGAGTATAAGCACCTTTACAGGGCACACACACTGCGATGCTATTCTAAATAGCTACAAGCCACGCTGCTGTTACTAATGCGTGTGCTGTCACAAGGCTGCGAATCACACACAAGCAGTCAGCCGAGACGAAGCTACGGACGCAAATGCCCCCATTAGCACAACATTCGAAGCACACGATGCCCGCATTAGTGTCAAAACAAGAGAAACACAACACGCACTTTAAAAAAGGGGTACCGCTGTTACTCACATCCGATGAGCATGACAAGGATGGAGAAGATCTTCTCCATGTTTGTGTTGGGCGACACGTTGCCGAACCCCACCGAAGTGAGGCTCGAGAAGGTGAAGTAGAGTGCAGTGACGTACTTGGACTTGATGCTGGGACCGCCCTGGGTCTCGTTGACGTAGAACTGGTGCGTGGCGTTGGCCAGGTGGTCCAGCCATCCGATCTTCGGCTGTCGGTAGGGCCGTTCGGCGTTGGCGATGGCGTACCAGATGCAGGCCAGCCAGTGGGCGATCAGCGCGAACGTGGCCATGAGCAGGAGAAGCACGGCGGCCCCGTACTCCGAGTACCGGTCGATCTTGCGCGCCACGCGAACCAGCCGCAGAAGGCGCGCCGTCTTCAGGAGACCGATCAGCGTCGTGGTCTGCGTGTTCGGGTGGGCCCCGCGGCGCGCTGCCTTGCTTCACACTGCTCTTTTCACCACGGCAACACACGACGACGCCCCCCTTCCAAGGAAGCTACGCCTTTCGCCTCACGGCTGTTCGTCTCTTACTCTGGAAGTAGTGTTCTTTAAAGAAAGTTGCTTTATAATGCGATTTCCTGACGTCATCATTCAAGGGAGACCTTGAATGATGAACCTTGAAGGGAGACCTTGAATGATTAATTCAAGGGAGACCTTGAATCATCAACCCAAGGGAGACCTCAGGAATGAGCACGGTCTGTTTCCAACTGTTGGAAATAAAACTTCGCTCTTCTCTAGGGATTTCCCATTTCTCTCTACGTTTTACCTAACAATCTCAAGAATCCGCGTTTACTGCAGTGTAAGTGTTCTTTTTTTTTGCGTTTGAGCGATCATCCTTTGTACAAAATTGATCAGCTAGAGTAGCAAAACAGGCGATCGAGCACGCCAACATTCAATCGCGGACACTTTTAACTCTGTCTCGATCTTCCCAGCAATGATCGAAATCTTTCTCTCGTTCTTATTACCAATCGCTCTAATACAAGGTGAACGTAGTTAACTTAGGCTTCAGAACCTATTGTTTCAGTGTGAAGTCCGGAACACAATGAGTACAGTATCAGTAGGTGCTCTGGATACGTCATACAAGCTTTCATATACAATAGAACATTTTAAAAAGATGAGCGAAACAGTTACATTTCTTGTGAAGGCTAACGTACATACCCGCATACCACTGGGCGTTGGCCTAACTATAGTGTAATCTGGGGTTCGGTGAAATTCTGTCTGGTCGGGGCAGAGCATTATGATAAGTTCAAATTAACGCCGACCACGAACAAAAACAAAAACTGATATGTAATGGCTTCCCGTACAAGAACCTTGGAACAAACATCTCATATGGGCACCAAAACGTCTCTGCTTTGTTTCTATTTGTGGTCGGCGTTCATTTAAAGTTATTAGTGTATACTGTAGCAAAGGTTAAAAATTTTGCCTGATGTTGTCTACCCGCTCTTATAACAAAGGGAAGTACATTAACTACATTAACCATAAACTGCCAGATATGAAAAAAGCACAACGAAACTAGCAATTACTTATGCAAAGTTAAATTTTAACTAACACATCAAAATACACACAATCTCTAAAAAAAAAGGCATTCCCTGGGTCCCCTATATAACGCCCACTGTAGCGTGTAAATATGAATGATTATGGCGTCACGTCTGGCACCTACATATTTAACCCACAGAAACACTGTTTTCGTTTATTTCCGTGTGAGCCTACGGCAATTCAGCATAGCATTCATAAATCTTCATGACCTATTCATTTTTCAGCTTCACCTCTCACCTGCGCAGCTTGATCTGTCATAAGAGGAGTCTTCTTCATCAACTACTCATAAAGCTAACGCACCTCATTAGACCAAATACTCGCACTGTTGGTTGATTCGGTAAGCATAATAAATGTTATCCGCACTGAGGCCTATTCCAAAGATGGCATATGCACACTGTTACAAAATAAATATTAGTGAAAGCATATTTAATGATGATATGCAGGTTTGGTAAGCTTTTTCAAGTTAATACGGATTCTAGAGAGACGCATGTATTAAACTGTGTCAGGCGAAAGACAACACAGCATGACAAAGTAGCAAAATAAAGCATATCCTAACCATAACCATAGCTCAGCCCACAGAGCATCAAAATTGAAAAGCTGTCTATACTACTTACACACGATGACGCCAATACGCTTTCATAATAGAGCGAGAAGGTTGATTCCGGATGTACATGCGCTCTAAAGCATGGAATATGTTGACGTAGGAGTTGACCTATGCACGAGTCTATTCCGATGGGAGGGCACTTAGACGATGAGTACAGCTGTTGCATAAGCTGATAAAAAAAAACACCAAAAAAGCATAACTCAGGCCGTGAGTGTACGCGAAAGAAAAAAAAATATGTTGCTGCGAATGAATGATTTAATTAGGTGTCCTGATGTGCCGTGAAAAGCTAATGCACGTTTACAGTCAGAATAAACAAATCAACCAACAGTAACTGCTCTTGCGAAGGCAAAAGCAGTTATTCCTGCTGTACAAGCTTCGGCGCGTGGTGTTATGAGACTTTTTGTATTATATAGCTCTGAAATGTGAAGAGTAAAGTTCAACTCTCGCCAGAACTTTTCTGCGTTGCAAATGAAGATTCAAGGTGGCTAGAAGTACCAAGGTATAAGCTGCATATGGACAGCAGCTTGTACTGTATGTAGTTCGTAATCCACTGTGTGTGTAAGAGCGCAACAGGGTATAAAACAAACGAAAGAACAAACGACCAAAAACGGGTGCTCCACAGTCACCTGCGGTCCTTTCATATAATACTTGCTGCTACAAACTAACATATAAGGTGCAGTGAAGCTCGTGATGGCTTCGTTTCTTTTGACAAAGACTGTAAGGGTATCTTAGAGCTAAACAATTATGCTTAGCCTAATAGTATTTCGGTGTGATAACTTCCTTGCGCTGCAGGAAGTGCACCGGTCTACTGCCTAAACTTTATCTATTAGCAATGAAATTAAACGCTTAAGATGACGAGACCGGCCAATGAAATAAAGCCTTTATATGGCGAGAATAGTGTTGACAGGATATGAGGGGTGGCAGCAATTTAAGTTTGCAAATGAAGCGAGCAAGCGGTGTGAAGCAACTGTTAAGAGGCGACATCTGACGTCCATTACAGCAACAAAGAATGATTAGCCCCGAGTGTGAGCACGTATGCGGTGAAGAGAGTACTGCGCACGGTAGCAACAACGGCCGCATTCCAGTGATTCAGGCAATGCGGGGCCTCCGAAAACATGCAAGGCTGCAAACACGCAGGCAAACAAACAGGCATTTCAGGCAGGCGGGCTCGTTTGCGAGGCAACCAAGGAATTACCCAGCCGGGTATCACCGCAGACTCTATATCACCAAAGCACTGCGAGTCTTCACGCACAAATTATCACTAGTAGTCTGAGTTTTGTCAAAGTCAAAAATATACATTGATATAGAGTTCTTTATGCATGAGATTCTTTGGGGCTATCTAATCAGTCAATCAATGAGAATTTCATAAGGAGGAGTAAGCAGATAGAATGTGCCAAGTAGGAAGTGAGGTGTTTGGTGAAAGGCCGTGAAAGAAATGAGTGCTGTTTGTAAAGGGTATAGGTTGAGGGAGAGAGGGGCGTCAGCAAGGTGGCAGAGGAATCACGTTTCCTCAGTTCTAGCGTACACCTTAACATGTGTAAAGAATCGGTTGATATAGTCGCTCGTACTGCCAGTAAAGATGAGCAAGTCACTAGCTTCGTCCACTATCGAAACGCGCAGTGAAACAACAGACGGAGTCAGGTAATGCGTGTGTGTTGCATCCCCCCAGTAACGGTTGTCACATTGGCTCTAGATAATGTAGATTTTTACGAGGAATAGCCGCTGTGCGTAGCTATTCTTCATTCCATCGTGAAACGTGATCGATTGCATATCTTAAATTTTAAACAGACTACCTCTCCTTTCGACTTCCTACCTGAGAGCATCATTTTACGCCACAGCAACACTGTGTGGTTCCGAGCGAATAAGTTATACACGAAAGCTTACCCTTAAGTCATTGTATGTCTAGAAGGGACGCAATAGAACTGCATCCTCTAGATGAATATCGGGCATTGCAGAGTTCATATAAGAAAATATGGGGCAATGCCTGATAAAAGAAAATGCGACGTGAGGAGAGGGTTGCAAACGAGTGAAATGGAAAACCTGGTGATAAGAGGGTGAATAAGCGAGGAAACGTCACGTGCAACAGCCGCAACCCAAAATAATTACAGCTGATTGCGCAGAAGCTAAAACTGTGTGAAAATAATCATCGACTACTTCTAACGATGTTATCCATGTGGTTCTTTTCTTTTAATACGCGTGAGCAGTAGGGGCCTTTACTGTACCGGAAGCGATGCAGAACCGCAAACTATACTAAACCACTGCACGCAACTTCGAATGCCACGAGTCGATAGAGAGAAGCTGCCTGCTGATGCTTTCTTGGGATGTAAGACTTGATATGGTTTGACAAATATTCAGAAGCTTTCTAGACTATCTTCTAAAATGTCAGCGCCGCTTTTATGGTGTAGTAGCGCAATTTTCACGGGGACGAAGAGGACAAGAACACACGACACTCGCTACACTCGCAACTAATTTTATTTCAGAAGCAGCACATCATATATAACCCATAACCCTAGCGACACAGAAAAGAACTACGAACATTGAATCATTGCCAACAGAAGCTTTTGCGCAGACTCAAGCGATAGTACACGGCAGTTACGCTTACACTTTAAGATGACATAACTAAAAACAGCCCTGGGTAACATCAAATAAAAAAACAAAAAAAATTTTGCGGGAATTCACACGTGTTTGAAACAAAATTTTGAAACGACAAAAAGGAGAGTATGACACATGCAAACACTGATCTCAATTAAGTCCTTCGAGGTAGTTGGCTTCTCGGTCACTTAACGAAACCGATGACTGACTAATGCATCCTTCTTTTCTTTTTTTTTAATGTGGAAGGCTTCGACAATTTCTCTGGTTAGTTGGTTTCCATGACGGAAGACTACGGTCGTGTCACTGAAAAGTGGTGAGCAGCCACACTGGGAACAGTGTCTCTTTATGTGAGAATGAATGTCAGTTCTTAATGATCGCTTGTGTTCTAAAAGTCGGGTGTTCAAACATCGACCCGTCTGGCCGATGTATACCTTTCCACACGTTAGCGGCAAGCAATACACGACTGATAGGCTACACTTAACAAACTTTGTTGTGTGATTTACCGTACAACTACCAGCATTAGTGTTTACTGCTATGGAAACTTTATTGTCTAGTTTGGAACATATTTTACTAAGCTTGTTGGGTGCCGAAAAAACTAGTTCTAGGCCATAGCGATTACCTACGTTTTTTAAGTTATGGGCAATCTTGTGCGCATATGGAACTGACACTA